ATGCTGATTTTCATAGTGGTAATATTTTGCAAGGCCAACAATCTTATATCGCAGATCTAGGATTATCTAGAAAGAAACATGAATCTATTTCAGAAGGCAATATTTTTGGAGTCATGCCCTATGTTGCTCCTGAAGTTTTATCGGGTAAAGAGCAGTTTACACAAGCAGCAGATATTTACGGATTTGGGATTATTATGGCAGAAATTTCAACAGGACAAAGGCCTTTTGATGGACGTAAATTTAATGCTAAACTTGGAGCTGATATTTGTAGAGGATTGCGCCCAGAATTTGCTTCTGAAGCTCCTGACTGCTATGTCGAATTGGCAAAGAAATGTATGAATTCATATCCACAAGAACGGCCTAGTGCAGTGGAAATTTGGTATAAAATTGGTGTTTGGCTTAAAGCGTTGGCTTCAGATGATGAAAATGAAATCAAAAAACAGTTCTTAAATGCAGACCAAATCATTAAAACATTGCCAATAATTACTCAAAATCATCCAGATCTTATGTATATTAGCAAAATCATCAGCACACAAAAGATATCCAATAAAATCAAAGGTATTATTAAAAAATTAATTGAAACCAAATATTATACTGTAAATAATTAACAAAATATTTAATATCTTCCAATAAGAATTGTCATCAATAAGTAAAACTATTGAGTCGATTGATATTCCTACCGGTAAGTACTACAATGTTAATTTTGCAAATAAATATGCAAATTTATTATTCACTTTCATTTAATGTTTAGATATTGATTGAATAATTTCGTTAACGGTATAAAATTTCTAAAATTAAAAATTATCGTTGATATGTACAAAAACTTGATAACAAATAAAATTGATAAAACATAATAACTTCATTTAATATGTTCTTTAATCTCATCATTAAATTAGGTATGAATAATATTTTTATCTTTAATTTAGCATTTATAAATATATAATATAAAACAAACGCTTTCAATAAATTTTTGATTTTTTTTTTTTGAATAATAAATGATAAAGACTGTAGCTACAATTATTATAGATATCATTTTATATTAGCAGGCAGCTGTACGATTATTAATAATTTACGGCTAATCTAATTTTGTATAACGTTTCAGGACAATATTTTATGATCCGACTGCAGTTTATGTAAATAATGATAATGCGCATGATGCTTTTTTTTATTGGATCGGGCGTAAGCTTTATTTGCAAACAATTAATTCAATGGCAAGTTCGTTCATACATAATTGGTTCATTTCATAGATAACTTTTCACAGATAAATCATTTCACCGACAAAGCAATTCTAGTATTCTAGTCATAGTGTTTGTTATGATTATCACAATTCCTGTAAGTGTCATACATCAAAGTCAAAGAGATTCTTAATAAGCTTGTGCAATATAAAATTTGATTTCAGCTTAGAAAACTCAATGACCACTTTTATTAAACTGACCAATCATATTCTTCGTTTAATTCATTGAGTATCAGTTAAGGCCAGGGCACAAAATTGCGGAATGTCGTAACCTGCTTTTTTTCGTAAACGAAATTAAGAAAATACTGCATATTTTATACTATAAAATTTTTAATTGCTTTAAAACTTTACGGAAATCATCATAATTTTATGGAATCTCCAGCATTTTACAAAAGAATTTTGTGCTCTGGTTAAGACTCTTGAAAACGAATGAAATAGTGATTGGCAAAAATTTGGCAGTCCCGTGATTTTTATTCAATCGATCAGTAACATACAAATGCGAAGTAAAAAAAATAAAAGCAGAAATCGCAAAAAACTCAGATTCGCAAGGGAAATTGGTCTTGTTATTATGTAAATGTGCTCAGTACAAATTTTAGATATATTCTTTCTACTTTGTATCAATGCAAAAATTTATTGAAAATTTTTACATTAAGTATTAAATTTTAAATTACCGAATTAGTCACAGGACCGCTAAATTTTTGCGCATCACTATTTCACTCCTTGAAAACGATTAATACTGTATAATCAATTAGTAATCCTTACTATTGTAGTTTAAAAATATTTTGTTCCTGAGTTTTAACTTCAAGATATAATTTATAATTAATATTTATAAATCAATAATCTACAATTATTAATTCATGCATCATGCAAATCCCAATCACGCCACTTATGCAACCGATCCTAATCACCGAAAAAATTTCGAAAAGATTAAATCACAATTTTTTTGGGTATCACATTATAAAACAATTTTTACCCTTTTGATGAGCACATGCCAATTAATTAATTAAATTATAGTATAAATATAAATTCATCGTTTTACAATCGACAAGAAATGATAAATCTCAATATTAAAATACTTCAAGCACAAATGGTTGTCTTGAGATGTAGGTCTTGATATTTTTGCAATTGATTACAAGCACTAGCATGTAAATATTAAAGATTTAATTTAAATTTGTAAATGCCAATAGCAGTTTTAAATTATAATAATATTTTAGCAGAAAATAGACAAAATCTTAATTTAAATTTTTACAAATATTTCGGTTAAAATTGGGGATTAAGTTTTATATCGCAATAAAAAACATTTTTGCCATAACCCAAAACACCTTTTGCAATTATGGAAAAAATTTCGAAAAGATTAGATCACAATTAATATTAAAGATTTAATTGAGTTTGTAAATGCCAATATTATATTAGAGATGTTGGTAGGCTATATTCTTGGCTTAAAGACATTTTTCGCAATAGTGACTTTATATTATAATAATATTTCAGCAGAAAATAGACAAAATCTTAATTTGAAATTTTTGCAAATACTAATATAAGTATTTTGGTTAAAATTGTGATTAAGTATAATATACCGCAATAAACCATTTTTTGCCATAACCCAACCCATTTTTTGTGATTATGGAAACCAATTTTTTCGGGTCTCTGTCTCAGGTCACAAATTAACCCGTGACAACAGTATGAGTCACGTTTTCTGGGTCTCGATTATTCTCACCTGTAACAATACTCATTGCTCCCTTACAATTTGCATCACTTTATTACTCTTGAGATTAGTATTGCCGGGATTATCAATATTTACATTATAAGGTAGCTAGACGATATTGTGCCAAATCGGGAAACATGAACAATGATTTTTTTAATCTATATAAGGGAGAGTTGGGTTTTTTGGCACACTTAAGAGTCGCACATATAAAAATTTTTAGAAAAACCGTATTTATTTGCAAAATTTAGCGAAATAAAATAACATTCAATTTACTATCGAATGATAAAAAAAAATCGGTTTCAAAAAAAAAGATCTTTCAAAATCTACTCAAAAAATGCTATATTTTTTACATTTGGGGTATTATGGCGCACTATGCATCATCACTATGTGTTTGTATTGTAATGCTGCATCCTTCCTCCGGATATTACCCAAATAAGGAAATATATAAAGAATTTTAATACTGGCATAAGTAATCCTCATATCTTGCAACGATATTATCGAAAAGCTTCGGTGCGCCAAATCACCCACCCGCGCCAGAATACCTGACCCTCCCTTATGTTAATTCGTATATATTTGCTAACTCAACTTAGTTTCACTTATGAGACTAATAACTATACAATATAGCAAATATTGAATGTTTATTTCATGTGATTTGTATTACATTTAACTGTATTTATTTTAATAAATTAGGTCCCAAAAATTTTAAAATAAACTTCCCGAGCAAAATAAGCATGCAGGAGTTACCGTTTTTACATTATATATAAAAGCCAACGCATAGTGTAGTTTCCCTTTCAACTCCAAGAAAATATACCTTTTAATCCCTCTTATTCAAATACTTACAATGATACTGAAACACATTTTAAGTTGTTCACTGATCCTATTAATTTTAATAGTTTATGAGTCCGTCGTGGTTATTATTGATAAAGATCTCGTAATTCGTTCTGCGAAACCGATTAAAAATAAAACATGGGAAAATTGGAATGGAGAAATTCATATTTCGCCAAATGCCATTTTTGAACCATTTACACTTGAAGACCTTAAAGATATTGTAAAATTAGCAAAGATAAATAATAAAACAATTCGATGTGCTGCTCAAGGACATACTGCAAGTTCTCTGTCGGTCACAGAGCACTATCTAGTAGTAGTCACAAATTTAAATAAGGTCAAAGTGCAAAATCATCCAAAATATGGCTGGACTGTTACCGCTGAAGCTGGTAAAATTTACACATACATACAGAGTTATTTATGATAAATATTACATAAGAATAAATTATTAAATAATTAAAAATAGGTACATCATTGTCTGATCTTGATGAAACACTTCGAAATCATGACCCACCATTAACTCTTGATTCAGAGCCTTTATATAACACATTTCGAGTATCTGGAGTTGTGGCGGTGGGTGCACATGGTGCAAAGACAAGTTCAGGGATTATGTCAGATCAAGTTTGCTCGATGAAAATCGTCACTGGTTCTGGGAAAGTATGTGAATTTAGCGAAGAAATAAACAAATCAGAATTCAATGCTGCGAAAGTCAATCTAGGTGATTACTAAATTCATTTTGATTATTCACATTTCCTTCGTTATCTAACTTATTATCGCTTAGGTTTACTTGGTATAATCTATTCATTAACGTTCCGTGTACAACCGATGTACAATCTTCGTATGACTGATATCTTCGTTCCAGCAAATGAATGGCTTAATAATCCACAGAATATCAAAAATCTTTTAGAATCATCTGATGGTATTAGTATAGCTTATTGGCCATTCAATGGATTCAACCATAGTGATCCGAATCCTCTTGACCCTAGTAGAGATCGAATTGAGATTACGAATTGGATACGAACTGATGAACCTGTGAACTTCACACAACAACAACTCAAACAATCATATGAAACTCAAAGACAGGGTGTTATTCAACAGTATAAACTCATAAGTAGTAACTTACAGAATCCTGATGCAATTCCGAATATTACTGCCACTTTATTTGGTAGTTTCGGTAATGCTAGTACTGTATTTCAAGCACCTGATGCTATTCATTATGTAGCTAGTGAAGAAAGTGCCAAGTTTGATTTCGTGGAAATTGGTTTCAAAATTGAACCAGATTTTTCCAATGCCGCTGCTGAATTTTCTTATGTAATCCAAACAGTGAGTTTATAACTGTATTTAATATTCTGTTTCTGACTTTCTGATTTTGTTACACTTTAGAATAAACTTATTATATTGTAGATATATGAATTTGCAAGAAAAGGAAAATTTCCATTAAATTATATTGCAGATTTTAGAATCATAAAATCAACTGAAGCTTTATTATCTTTTACTTTCAATCATGATCCTGAAATATTGTATTGTCAAATGGATTTTGTATCAGTTACTGGTACTCCTTTCTATGAAGAATTTACACAATTGCTAGCGCAAAGATATTTTGATAAATATAAAGCAAAGTAAGAAATTATTAAAATTTTTAATTACAATGAATTTAATTAATTCACTAATTAAGCAAACTCATTTACTACAGGCCTCATTGGGGAAAAAGATGGGAATTTATTCCAAATGTGAAATCTTATCTTTCTGATGTTTTATCAAATCAAATTAAGCAATTTGAAAAAGTACGTGCAAAGTACGACCCTGATAAGATTTTCTTTGATAATAAGTCTCTGCAGGATATATTTAGTCGTGCTTTGGATTCATAAAATAGTAAGGATTCAGCGAAAAGGAAATTTTATATACTTAATTAATAAAATAAATTAACTAGTTACTAATGGACTAGTTAACTAATTGACTAGTTGACTAATTAATAAAAATAGACAATCACTAAAGAATTTAAATGAATAAAATTATTATTGATCACTTATTACAACATCTTGAGTCTTATTTGAGAGCTCTGATATTATATATCACATTAAAAGTTGTACAGTAAATAAATATAGTTGTACCACCAGGTCTTAGTGATAAAAATATCCTGAGCCGTTGGGTATTAGCGGAAACGAAGTTTCCGTACACATACGGATCAGGGTATTTTTGCTAAATACCCCCGTGATCTTGATTAGAGATGGGAAAAATGCGCATTTTATAATAACATACGCATGAATGCGCATGATATCGCATGATAATTTTTTTTGATTTTATATTTTTCCTCCGAATATTTGCCAAAATCTTTTCCCAACCCTTTTCGTCTTTCAGAATTTTTCATTCCTATTTCTTAATTTTGCCTAGCATTATACACCTTGGCCTAAATTAAATATGCTTTAATTTTCCTATATAAAATTTAATGGTATAAAATGCGCATGTTTCCGAATCATGCGCATTAATGCGCACGCACATCTAATCTTGATATATTTATCGGGCATTTATCAAGAAATAGACCAGTAGAAATGTGAATAATGCCAGTTTTAATCGTAGGGTATTAATTTTGGGGAATACTACAAGCAGTGGCCAAGGGTAAGTCTTATGAACTTAATATAGTATGAGTATAACAGTCTATCAAATATTTTAAAAAATATATTAGAACTTGAAATAGTAATTTTTAAGCATTTTCATTAATTTATATTCATGTTAACAAATAGAATTTTAAACCTATAATTTATATAAGTTTAATTATAAATTAATTTTTTATTATATTATGGGTTATTTGCTAGTCAACATGTAATTTTATAGGGTGCAAACGTTGTTAATAGTACAAAATAATTTACTTGATAAAAAATTTCTTCTATAGAAAAAAAATTAAAGGATGATTTTAATGCTTAAAAGAGGTAAAAATATTTAATAATTCGTGCTTCTTACGTACAAGTTCCGGGTGCCAACCCGTACAATCACAGTCCATGTTTCTTATAGGGTTTGTGGGTATCGCTGAAAGGGTTTGGTTCAAGATCCCGACAGGCCATAATTCACAACAATCAAGAATCTCGACAATCAAAAAAAACTTTTCCTTGAGCAATTTTACTATAAAATCACCTAAAGCAATCCCCAACCTAGGCGCTCACCCTAAACTAGTCACTCACTTAATTTAAAATAAATTTAATGATTTTTTGTTAGGATTATCGGGATTTTTACTGTCGTGATTTTTTTGTCGGGATATGATCTGACGGTATTTTGTTTGTCGGGATTTGACCGGCATCACCTATATTAAAATTTATACATCAAAATAAATATAGAAAACATATAAAGTATCTTTATTAGTTATACATTTAGTATAGACCGCTAACAAACAAGTATAATATTGCATGGTTTACATGTTTACTATTTTATACCATATATATACTGATTTTCAAGGCAAAGTCTCTATACTGGTGAAATTGCATCCAATAATTTTACTTTAAAGTATAATGACAGTTCAAAGCTCCTTCACTAAAATTAATATTCATTCAGTAATAATGGAAATACATAATTCAAATTTTAGATCAGATTTGAATTGGTTTTTATAGTCATTACAATAAAAAAAAATTGATTGTTTTATCTTTCATTAATAGGATAAAATTCGTAATTCTACCAATATAAAAAAGGTTTCTAAGATAATGTGTTAAACAGTCAAAAGAAATTATTGTATGAATATGGGAGTTAAGTTTATTATAGAGTCGTAAATTCACCAGGAACGAAACTCTAATTTTTTTTAAGTTTGAATTTTAATGACCTTCACCTCCATCTGATTGGCCTTTATGATCTGGAGCCGCTCTTCTGACTATGTAGCCATTGGCTGTTGAGGATTTTAAGGTCAGAATACAGATAATAACGATAAGAAAAATGTTAAGTGATAATTTCATTTGGAATGATTTTGTTGAAAAAAGGATCTTTGAATATCTATTAAAAATTTTTGTAGAAAAAGAGAGAATTTTATCTAAATTATGATGAAAATCAAGATACATACATGCAAGTTTACTCTTTCTTCATTAAGCTACTAATTTATGCAATCAAACTTGGATCAACTCTAATCAATTTTATGCAAGTTCTATTGGTAAGTCAATATTGAATTAAGAATATCGGTTTGGCTCTATACAGTAATAGATTACTAGTAGTAGCATAAAAAGAAAAAAAGTGGAAACTGTGACACCATGAAAGATACGTATTCAAAGGGTCCGATTTATGCACAACACGATAAAGACTAAGTTTCTTTTATATACTTCAAAGCGAAATGATAATTTTTAAAAAAAAAGAAAGCTACATAATTTGAGAAAGATTTTTTTATAGGGCTTGTCCCCTTTAACATCATTTGTACAAAATTTAATATCATTTTGTACGAAATTAATTGTAAGAAGTTAAATATTCTTTTGTATAATTCGGACTACCATTTCGATGAATAAAATCTAGAGATGTTGACTATCTTTTTACTTTTTTTTGAGTTTCTCTGACTGTCTAAAATTAAAATCTGCATTTCATAAAAAAAAAAACTTAACGATTCTCTCTTTGATTAACTGCAGTGATTTGAGCGATATCTCAATCACCCGCTAATCACATTGAAGAGTTGCTTGTGAACACCCTAAGTCGATGCTATGAATAACGACCAATACTTTTTTTTTATATTGTCCTTCGGAATTGAACCAACCAAATACCAGATAGTCTTCAGCTTATTCCAAAGCCGGGTTTAGTGGCACAATGAAGCCGATGAGCTGCAACTTAAGCTATGCTGTTACAGCTTTTAACTATGACTTAGCATTAGTATCAGCTGCAACTGAACCCAAATTAAACCATAATTATTGAAGCCATGGCTTGTGTTACGGCTAGAGCATGACTTGGCCATAGCTCAAGTAGTGGTAAATCAATAAACTTTGCATTAAATATTATTACGTTACTACAGTATTAATGATTTTAATGCAATATAGTATTTAAAGAAGCAACACAAGCGTTAACAACAGCTCTAAAAATCTTTAATGGGTTGAAATTGGTCTACAAAACTCTTTGTCATGTAATGTCAGGTTTTAACATGATATTTCATTTAAGTATTTTCTTATTTAATCAATTGAACATTATCAATCAATATATGTATTAATTATTTCTAGGTTCAATTTTTATTCACATAAGTAGCTGCGCAATGCAGTTGCGCGAAACCAGGAACGGGGAAGTAGAGATTAGAATGGTAGATAATATGAAGAGAAGTTTTTAAGGTCAGTTTATTCTTCGGGTTTAGTAAATACATAGATTAATTAGTTATTCAAGAGGTATAACTAAGTGCAATGTATATGTGTTCAGGGTTAATTTACTCTATTGATATACGTTATTTATAGATTGGAAGATATCGGAGATTATTATGATTTACGTTATTTATAGATTGGAAGATAATGGAGGTTATTATGATAAGAGATTAATTGTTCCTTTATAAGAGGTTTAAAGGATATTTTGAAATATAAAAATAAGTTATTAGGAATTTTATAATTTGTTTTTAGGGTTGCACGTTTTTTTAAATAATACTTTATCTTAAAAGATAAGGATAAAAATTTAAATTTATAAGATGGAAATTTAACTTGTTAAAAAAGTAACTTACGATCTGAGTAATTTAGTTAATAATCTATTTTTATATAATGTATAGCTATTCAACCCTATAAAAAAAATGGATTAGATCAGTGCGGGTTGGTTTTGGATATGTGAGGACCTTTAAGTACGGGTCAAGATCCAGATTTGTATGGGTGTGGTCTGAGTTTGTATGAATTCGGTTGTAAGTGTAGGGTCGTATGCTCGTGCTAATTGGATCGTAAATGGCATAGGTATTTCAGCAGGTTATTAGTTAAATTAACACGTGATTTTGCATGTGTGATGATGCGTAAATTCACGTGCCCCTGCGATAACAAATAACAAACATGTTGTTTAATATTAAGACATAAAGTTTACATTAGTAACTAACTGCATATGAAGTAAAATTTGTAAAGAATTTTTTTTAAGATACTCAGAGCAGTTTTATTAGTGAAATTATGAGATCTTGCATTTTTTTTTAAAAAAAAATAATTTATTATTTTTGCTCTGCGCAAAATGAGGTAATACGTATTACGAGCAAACACGTTTAGCGTACAGTATATACTGTACATATAGTTCTTTTTATAGCATCTGATTGGCTGGAGTAAATGTTCGGCAAGGATTTTAGCATACAGTACGCACAGTATATACCGTACTGTACGTATAGTACTATACACGGCACATCACTAGTTTAAAGAATTCAAAATTTGGGAAGATTGAAGAACAAGTACCCCGTGATATATTCGTGATAATCACATCACCTGATTAAGTGTTCGGCCTATGTTAGGGTTAGTGTTAGGGTTAGCTGATAGGTTAGTTTAGGCTAATTTGTTTAGTGCTGGTGAACAAATAACGTAATTGTGTGATTTCATGTGATGTGATGATCACTGGGGTACTTGTTCTTCAAGTGTCCCCAAAATTTTATAGAGAATAAAAATGCGTTATAAAGAATATAATGAGTATCTAATAGAGATAGAAATTTTTTCTTAGAGAACTTCTTATTTTTATTTTTTATTTTGGAAAAGTGGATCAATCTCAAAAATGGTTGAGCATAATTTTTTAGTGTTAAAAGATTATGTTAAATAATGTATAAAGAACAAAGAAAATTTTTTTATGAATTTAAAAATGGGTATTAGAGGTTAATTAAATGATGAAATATTTTTAATAAATATGCTAGATTTTTGTTTTATGATTTTAAAAATGTTAAGGTAATTTAATGTAATTGAAAATTTTGCAATGAATATAAAAGAGA